GTGTCCACCATAAGCACACAGCACGTGAAAGCCTGTCAGCACAGCAGCTGACTTCACAGTGGACTTTTGGCAGCCACAGATTCTCCTCCACTCCCAGTTGCAGGCGTCCTGGGTCTCTCCCCCTCTGGTCAGCCTGCCCTAGACCATGACAGAATGTGGCGGAAGGGCCGTGTCCAGAAGCCGGCACTTCCTGGCATCCCTCCCAGAGCCCGGGGAGCCCGCGGTGTCCTGGCAAGGGACTGACCCAGGACCCTGGAGAGAGGAGGCCTCGAAGGGCCTTCCAGCTGCTGGGTCACTGCACCAGGGCCGAGCGTCTCCAGGCCCCCGGTCCCGCGGGAGGCTCGGGCATGAGACCCAGCATCCCAGGGTTGTGGCAAGATGAACCTGCTGCCTCAGGCCATCACGCGTCGGAGTCCCTTGCGCGGCAAGACGGGCACAACCTGACCGGGGAGATCCAGGCAGACGGGCTGCAGTGGGCTTGTCTGGGTGTTTCGCCAGAAGCCACCCGCAGCGGCGACAAGGATTCCCTGCGCTCTGAGCGCCATTCACGTCCTCACTCACAGGACAAGAGGCAAGTTCGGCCTCGGCTGCTCAGACGCGGGGCCTTGGGCCTGGGGTGGGCTGCGGGCTCAGGATGGCCCGGCCGCTCCCAGGGTCTGTGCTCTCTGGTTCGCTTCTTGTTTATGTTTTTGCTGTGCTGCTCTGCAGAAACAAAGCCTGCTGGATGACGGGCGTCCATTTCACACACTCAACACACGGCCGCAGGAGAGGTCCGAGCCAGAATTTCCCGGGGCCGAGGGCACGCAGGGGCCGCATCGTGTGGCACTGGGTGCAGAACGGGGCAGTGGGTCAGCCTTTGAGGTTCATCGACAGTGCCGGGTCTCGCGTTGTACATGTCTGGCTTGATGCTCCTTCAGCCCGCGACGCCTCATCCGTCAGACTCCGGCGTGGCCCACGCCAGGCACAGCCACCAGCTGACACGTGTGTCGCGTCACAGGACACGTCCTTCTTTGTTCTGTTCGTGTTTGCTGGAGAATTTGACTCGCAACCGCTCTCTGAGGATACGCGTTTTTCCTGAAGACAAGCGCCTCTCTGTTGTCCGGGGACGCGGGACTCCCCTTGGCGTCAGCAAACGCCCAAAGAACCGCTGTCTGTCTGTTTTCCCCTCATGCTGCTGTTTATTATACATTTTTTAAATTGTTATTCTTCTCTTAAACTGCTATTCGTGCCATCCCCTTAGCGAGTCCTCGTGGCTGGTCACGAGCTGCCTGTCCTAGAAGCAGGTGGGTTTTCTGGAACCTTCTGCCGTCCACTGGAGGACTCATGTCACGCGGGCCATCATGCCCAGCTTGACACCCCCTGGCGGCCGTGTCAGCGCGGGCTCCTCCCAGGCATCGCAGACCGGCCACACCCCTGGCCACGCCTCCCTCCCCTTCACGCACCCAAGGGCCGCCCCGCTGGCCTTTTATACTTTTTCACTTTTTAGCTATTCAGATATTGTTGCTGCCATCTGGGGGAAATGCAGTCTGCAGGAATACCCTCCAGAAATGTTTGCGGGGCTGCAGGGGAATGCATGGGGTGCACAGGGGTACACGCAGGGGGTGCCGGGTGTGTATGCGCAGGGTGTTGTCTGCGGCCTGCACTCACAGGAACACTGACGACACGCTCTCTGGAGGTGACAGCCTCTGGTGACGTGCACACACCACCTTCCCGCCGCCTGCTTAGCTTTCACGGGAGTCTCGGAGCATCCTGGCGCTCTGTGGCCGGATCCACACTGTCTGAAGAACTGGACACCCCACAGCCTCTGCCACACGGCCACGTGGCCAAACAGGAGCACGGGAGGTTCGGTTCCAAGACTTCCCAGGGACCATGTGCAGAGAGGGACTCGTCTGGCGCTGCCAAGGCTCGTGGGAAGCCCAGCGCTGTCGTGGCTGGAGTCTGGAAACGCGACGAGAGCAGAGAGGGGAGAGGGCGCCCGCGTCCAGACGATGACACCGGAGCCCCTGGAGCCAGCCGTGCTTGAAGAGAGCACCTTAGACTCTCCAGCCGTATGAGGCAATCAATTCTTTTTTTTTTTTTTTGCTCAAGCAAAAGGAGGAGGAGGAGGAGGAGGAGGAGAAGAAAATGAGAAGAAAAATCATGGAAAAGCTCAACATGCACAGAGCCCGGAGTCCAGGGACCTGTTGGTAACTTCCTCCTCCGCTTCCTCCCGCTCTTCTTTCTTTAGGACAGGGTGTCCGTCGCCCAGGCCAGAGTGCAGTGGCACGACCCTCGCTCACTGCAGCCTCCACCTCGGGGCTCCAGCCGCCCTCCTGCCTCTGCCTCCCGAGCAGCTGGGACTGCGGGCACCGCCTCGTCCCGCCTGGTCCTGGGCATTCCGCTTTAACCGTCCGGCTGTCGCTTCGACTTCTGTTTTACTTCAGGACTGGGCACTACGTGAGAAAAGTGTCCAGGGGAAACGGACTTTTGGTGTCTCAGCCTAAGTGTGGCAACGCCTCTGTGGCTCCCAACCCTTCATTCATTCATTCATTCAGCAGCGAGCGAGTCCAGAGCAGTCCCTGCGCCCAGTGAGCCCGCGCGGGGAGCTGCAGACATGAAGGTGAGCAGGGCGTGGCTGTACTCCGGCGTGAATGCAGGTCTGGTGCACACTCGCACACGGGCCGCTCCTGAGACCTCTGTCAGTTTTCCCCTCTGCAAAATGGCCACCGCAAACCTCCTGTAGGGCTCACGGGGTCGAGGGAGCACACCTGTGTGCGTCCAGCACAGAGTGGTCCCTGCAGGGGCGACTAGGCATGATTCACTTTCCTGCCAGAGGATGCGAGAAACATCAGCTGTGGGCAGGGCGGAGACGCGTGGCCGCGCTGAGGCCTTGAGGAGCTGGGGGTCGCTGGAAGGGGCTGGGTGCTCCTTGGAGGGAGCTGGAGAGTTTCCAGGGCTGGACAGGAGCCCGAGTCTCAGTCGCCCGCTGGCTCAGTGCTGGGGTGGGGTTGCTCTAGTGTGAGCCGCGGAGGGCCGTGACCACTGGGGGAGCAGGAGCGGGCAGCCACAGCTGGGTTGCGCCAGTGCTGTCAGGCCCCGGAGGCCCCGGCCTCACCTCCTGGCCTCCGCACCCGAGTCCCTCCCTAGGAAGCAGGCCCGACCTGCAACCCCAAACAGTGTGTATGGCTTCA